ACACCGGCAATAAAATAATAACTTTATTACACTACTAAAAACCTTCAGAGGGTTTTTGTATGGTAAAGTACATAAATACAAAGAAAGTGACCTATAACCCGAACATGAAACATGGAGTATCGAAATCACTTATAAATTTGCCAGCGCTTTTCGGTCTTTGGTATTTTGACTTTTGCAATTGTCGTTTAATTGTATACTTAGAAACTGCACTAATTGGAACAAACTCATTATCAATATAATTACACAATAAACGTTTCCTATTGTTTGTTTATACTTCAGCCAGGGACGAAAAGAATTAATAATTCACAAGACGCGAAAGTAATCAACCCCTGTATAGTTGAAAACTTTTCAAAATATAGCGTTGTTATACTAGTACATGATGCCACTGTTGCTAATAACAACCTGACTTATTTCCAACCAAGATGCTATGATTGACAGAGGTTTAAAGTATAAATATCAAAACAAAAAAAGTCAAAAATAGATTTTTTTTACCAAATATGATGAAACATTCACTAAAATTAGAGAATTAAAATAAACAGTTAATATTTCTTTGAGAAGTCAGTCATATCAGAGCCTGCATGATGCCAATAGATCATTGACCTAATGGGTGGCTGGGTGGTGAATTAAAGTTGTATTTTTGGCAAATCTTAGTTGAAAGCCCTTTTAATTTTGAGTAACTATGCTGAAATGAAAGCTGAATGTTATGGTGTTCACAATGAAGTAACACTGATTGAAAGTTAGTGTAGTATGCCATTTAGCGACTCAACTTGTTATTGTTTTTACTAAAATATATCATACATAATGATGGTGAAATATTATATAATAATTTATTAATTGTATAATGGCCTCATTTCTTTATATTGACAAGAAATAAATTTATATTACAAAATATAGATGATAATATAAGCACTATATAATAATGTGATGGGGATATTTATATATATATATACATACAAGCTTATTAGGTTAATCTCATTTGATCTTTGATTAAAAAACACTTACAAATAAATATAGCTAACGAGTTAATGATTTGGCTTTCAGATTTGGGGGTTGTATCTTATTTGGGAGATACTTTTTCCTGATTGTGTCCCATGCAGTGCATTTTAGTAAAAAATGATATTCATCATCAATTTCTTGCAGGCACAAATGACAAATACGGCTCTCCCTAGGGATATTATTATGTCTGCGTCTTTCTATTTCTAAGGGGTGGCACGCACATCTTAATCTTGCTATTGCTCTGCGCAATTTTAATTGTGGCAATGACACATAGTTTTCAATCCCAAAATTTGTTTTGTATTGCCTATAATACTGCGTTTTTTCGCCAGAACAAACGTCTATATACCAATCTGTAATTCCAATATCGTTGACCCGTTCACAGAAAAGAACATATCAGAGTCCCCCATCCTTTGATTAAACCAGACATAACCAAATCCATATTTAAATAGCAATTCTTTGTCCTTTTTTGTCCAGTGAAAGCTTTTTGGGGTAATCTGTTTTCATACATGCTAGTAATTTTTAACCAATATTTCACACATCTTTTAACATGGTAACACAATAAGGGTAGCCTCCCACAATACCCTAATACTGTACAAGTTGGAGCATTTTTACCTACACCGAGATATTGCCTATAATAAATGTATGTACACTTTATAAATGTTGATATTGACCATATCCCCAGATTTCAGACCCATATGTAAGTACAGGTTGAATTAAGGTGTCAAAAATCTTAAAATACAAGTCTGCTTTAAAACATTGCATATTTCCTAAGTATTTTTTGATTGCAATCATTTTTTTTTTTGCCTTTTGTAGCTAAATTTTCTGTGGTAATATTAAAAGAGCATTTACATGACATTACCAATCCCAAGTATTCGTATGAACTAACAGTACTAAGTTGCTTGTCCTCAAATACCACTTTTCATATTTACTGAGATATCCCCTATTTCTGTATACTACAATTTTAGTTTTATTTAAGTTGATATTTAGATCCCACTTGTTTGTAAACTCATACAATATACTTATTAGTCTTTTCAAGCCCAAAACAGAATTTGAAAATAAAGCAATGTCGTCAGCATACAATAATGAAACAACTCTAACATGTCGTTCGGGATCAATTGTATTCCTCTATACCCAGAGTCATCCAACATGCTTTGTAGCTCATTAATGTAAAATGAGAATAAAATAGGGCTGATCATGCACCCTTGTCGAACCCCTTTCTTCAATTCAAAGAATCTCGAATCTCCTTCACGAACACATGATTTGACATCTTTATAAATACTTTGTAAAATTACATAAATTTTTCCGTTGATACCATTATTGGCCAGTCTAAACAATAAAAAATTCCTGTTAACTGAGTCGAATGCCTTCTAGAAATCTATATAGAGGCAATACAATTATCCCCCTTTCCTGTGTTTCTGAATTATGGCATATAATGTGAATTTTGGATCAATAGTTGAATAGCCCTCTCTAAATCCAGCCTGTGTCTCTGGGATTATACTGGAAAAATACCAGTATTAAAAATTAAGTTAAAAAGAGCATTCAAAAATGTTAAAAATTCAGCGATTAATAGGTCAGGGCCTGCAGATTTGTCATTTCTAAGTTTATGTATTGACCAAATAATTTCGTCATTCGTTATTGCCACATCCAATGTCGTGTCAGTTTCACCAAATTCTGGAGAATGCGGATCAAAATTATACAGAACGTTTTTGACTTCAGTAAGATGCTCTTGATCTATGTTATTGTTACATGAATCCTGGTCATACAAATTTTCAAAGTACATGACTCAATCTTATAATGGGATGTTTGATTTTTACTCTTATTCTTTCTAATAGTTTCCTTGATACATTTTTTACTTGTTATGTTTTCTCTAATTGTTTCTCTAATTGTTTGTTACATGTTTATCAACTAGTAAGTACCGGTACACGTCTATCAACTAGTGTGTACCAGTAAATGTCTATCAACTAGTATGTACCAGTAAATGTCCATCAACTAGTATGTACCAGTAAATGTCTATCAACTAGTATGTACCAGTACTC